TTACCTTCTGTGTGGCTACGACTGTAGCCATCTTGGCTTCTACAGCTGCAGGCATGTTTATATACAGTAACCTACATGCTTTTCTTTGCTTTTTATTGCCTGTCATAATTAATAATTCTGTCCTGTGTGAAAATCAGCCTGATGTGTTTAAGCTGCAAATATACTTGGCTCAATTCCGTCACTATATAAAGTAATGGCTGTTGAATAAGTTTTAGTTGTACATGGTTTTAGAGCAAAGGGCTGCATGTAAACACAACGGTGGTGAGCTTGGCATGTCATTGTGAGCATGTCATCAAAAAAATAAAGTGAGAAAGGACTTGGTGGAGTTCAGCTTTCTGGCACTCATCCATTTCTGTCCCTTGTGTCTTTATCTTTTCTATGTACAGCTGAGAAAGTATAAAGAGCAGGAAAAGGATCAGATTTATGAGAAATGAAACTTCGTGACCTAGAGATGACATCTCCAGTGATTATCATTTACTAAGGACCACTGGACAGCTGGATCACCAGTGCTGGAACTCCACCACAGAAGAGGGCGAATATTTAATAATTACTAATTTTTAGTTAATTATATGAGGTTTAACAACTAGGCCGGTAATTTCATATATAATTTCATCATAATTTCAGCACTCCCAATATAGAGAGTAAAACCAACACATTTTTGCCTCTACTCAATGTTTATATACTGTATGTTAGTCTTTCTGTCCTTAATTAGCTTAATAATTGTGAAGTCTCAATGTGTACAAAAGAAGAAACTGGATGCAACTGAAGGTCACACTCATGTCTTAACACCTTACAAGGAAATCATGATCATAGTTGTTTATTGCTGCTGCCAGGTACATGGCTAATAATACTGGGTCTGTCTATAACTAATAAATGTTATAATCATGAGTGATCCCTGTGTTCATGTGTGAGCCAAATAATGGAGCTTCATAGCATTAACGTTAGTATATTTTACAAAGGTTAGACATGTTAACATTTTCACTGTTTAGCACTCTCTCACAGCTACCAGTAGCTATGGGCACGCCCATTCATACAATTGGCGTAGCAAATGCCTATGGCTGCATTTGGAGCTCAGCCCCTGTCCACAAAATACCAGTAAGACCAAGCTCCAAAATACAGCAGTGTGTTTAATTTCTCCTTTTGATTTTAAGTTTTAGAATGATTCGATTTTGTTTTTATTTTAATTATGTAAAGTACTTTGGTCAACAAGACATTGAGCTGTGTTTACACTGTCGGAACATAACAAGCGGTACACCCCTTGCTTCCCTTAACTGTCACCCCGGCATAACCTCACGAGTTGATGCAGACCATACTTTGCTTTTCCCCTGTAGTTTCCCCTGTGTTGATCTCTGTTTAGTGGAGGGAGGGGTTGCACTCAAACACACTCAGAGCTGAGCAGAGCATGGGAAGGCATGGGGAAACTGAGCTGCCCTGGAGGCGGTCTGGACTCTAGTTCTACCTAGTTTATGATGTTGATAATCTTGTGATGTTTGGAATGTGCAGTGTGTTTATGTTTGAAATCTGTGCACATTTTCAGCTCCTTACCCTGTATATCTGGATACTTTGCCATAAGCAGAAGTCCCCATCTGACTGTAGTTGCTGTTGTATCAGTTCCAGCAGCAAATACATTAATAACTGTCATCATAAGGTTTTCATTGTGGAAGTGACTGTTGGTAATCCCAGATTTCTGCATATAAAGACCACAAATTATTCACTTGTTCCTAAACTTTTAAACGTTACATGTACTGTAGTGTACTACATTACTGCATATTACTAACTTTGTCCTACACAGGCTGACCACAGACTCATTCTGTGACTGAACAGCTTTAAATTCTGTTTTATGTTGGCAGTGAACAGTTTGTGGAATTCTCTCTTGTCAGCAAACCATTTGCCAATCCATGGGAACAGATTGTACACCTGATATAGACGATATATGTATTAGTATTTAAAACATTACATTTTTCAAGGTAGGTGAATTTTTTTCTTCTTTTTATTTGCAACTACTGTACTGTACATATTGTGTATTTATGTAATTTTTATGTTGTGCACATTGTTGGTGTATTGAGTCCAATTCCTTGTGTTCTTAAAATACTTGGCAATAAAGTTTATGCTTACTTTGAGACAGGTGATCGCAAGTAAAATAATAATAGTCACAGTAGCCATCTTGGCTGCTACTGTGGCTGGATGGGTGTGGTAGCTGCTGGATAAGCTACGGACTGGCAATTTGTCCAGGGTTTACCTACCTTCATCTGGGCTTGGTAACAGCTCTTCTGCAACCCCCTAGAGTATATGCAGGATGGATGTTGTGAGAGAGTTAAAGTTTAACAAACTTAAATAAATGCAATTCTGTTTACTGTAGTTGACCTGTCTTGTAGCTTTATTTGATGTTTTTTGGTAATGTGTATTTTGCTGAAGTGTTTTGTAAATCTGCACTTTCATACAATAGCCTGGTCTATAGTCACAATGTTCATGTAGGCATTTTGCTTATCTATGATCCCCAAAGAGTGCAATTCTTTTCAAAGATATATTAAACTAAAAAACAAAGATAATTAAAATCATCTACTAAGAAGCAAGCACAATAGCGTCCCCAATCAAAAGGTCCTAACTCCAGTGGTTGAATGCTTACTTTTTCCCTGTGATTTTTCCATAAGCTGAGGTGAAAATGGGAGTCAGTGAGCCCTCTAGTGTTGAAATGTAGCATGCATTTGTCTGTAAGTATAGCAGAAATGGTGGTCCTCACTCCCAATGTACATTTACCTGGACCTCACCTCGCTGCTCATACAGGAATGTGTGTGTGTGTGTGTGTGTGTGGAGGATGAGCAGGTGCAGGCCCACAGTGGGAGCGTTCTGTGTGAGAGCCTGTTCAACCACAGAGTCATTGAGTTTAATACGCCTCAAAAAAAAAAAAAAAAAGACCTGTGGTCACTGGAAATCTTTTTCCTGTCCTTGTTCTATATTCAATCTATAGCAAGGTTTCCAGCTGGTGTTATTTAAATGTGGCTCTTACTGGGAAACATACATCAGGAAATAATAGCAAATTAACCAGGTGCAAATGCAGTTCTTTTTTGTTTCCTTCCTTCCTCTCCCTTTGAATGGTTTTTCCTAATTTTGGATGGAGTGATGTTTTGTGGAGGAGAAAGAGGAGGACGGGCAGATGGAAGAAGAGATGGTCTCACTCAGCAGACTGTTCCAGAGGAGGAAATGAATAAGGGAGCTTGTGGAGGAGCTGATGGCACTGTGGATGAAGATAGAGAACCAAAAAGCTCCAGACTCTTATGGGCGAGCAGGCGGCCTAGGAAGCTCAATGGAAGGAAGAGAGTGCACGGCAAGAACAGCGTTTTAAAGCATTACAGCATCAGTTCCTGCTATTACAGCTAGAAGTATAGGCACGTACAGCTCCTGTTCCCGATTCTGCACCTGTAGAGTGTGAGCCAGTGGATTTAGAACCACCTGATTTAAGTGGTGAACTACAGGTTAAAGTAGCTGTCAGTTGTGGTCAGTTCATCTTGTGTGCTTGGATCATCCTTCAGATGTCTCTAGAACTTGACTGGAGTCCACCAGTGTCAAATTGAATTGACTGTACATTTAGAAATGCACACACCCACCTTATCCCCATCTAAGGATATAAGGTCCCATAATTAACACTGTAGGCACTTCTCAGTACAAAATATACACAATTCTGACTCCTGAACTCAGGAATTGTAAGGTTCAAACTTGTGGTCCATGCTCCTGAAGACAGGAGCATGCACTATGCTCTATGTGCAATTGGAACACCAACGTCCTCACTGACAAACTACTCTAAGAAAGATAACAGATGTTTACTTTCCCATCAAAATGGTAGCTGCATGCTAATTAGAGCTAGTTTGGCCTGCTAACTGGCACTCATCTGCAAAAACATTGGAGCAACCTTCTAAACTGTCATTACTTGGATAGACCTACCACATATTTTCAAGTGGTTACTGTGTTGCTTGGAAAAATGTCAGAACTCGATAAAGTGGCATAATACCAGTACTAGGACAAAAATTATAAACTAGTGAATATTTTTAGCCCGGCTCAAAATAATTGCTAGTTGGTATGCAGTGCATTCTGGGATACAAGTCCACTCTCAAAACATCCTTGATAAAATGGGCAGAGCAAGAACACTTGATTTGCGGTGTACTTGGCTAGATGCAGACAGTTAACTGAAACAGTACCTGAGCTCTGCCTGTTGACATATAAGTCTGCAGGAACACGGGTACAGAGAAGAATGCAGACTGAGAAAGGCCCTTTATGTCAGGAGATAAACCAAGCCACAGTGTTAAAGAACTCACTGCAGACTGTTGTGATAAAACTATGGTGAGGTATAAATCAAATCAGGGCAATGTCAGTTTTATCCATTTAAAGTTAGATTTATAACAATTAAAGTGTACAAAATCCAGAGGGTCTGAATATTTTCTGAAGCCACTATTAACCACTAGGCTCAAATAAAGTGTCCTCTCTCTTTACTGGATCCACTCTGCCTTCTGTCAACCCCAGTGTGTGTGCCACACGTCTAAAAGCAGATTAGGTGGAGTGAGTGTTTAGCTAAACTGTGAGTGGGTGAAACCTGAGCTTGTGTATGGCTTGCTGATGGATGGGTGAAAGGGAAGGAGGTGTCAAGGAATATCTAACACAGTCCAAGCAATTTATGGCCTGTAAATGAAATTAAACTGCATTAGAGCAGTGGTGGGAGCTATGAAATTGAAGCTACCAGTGCTATATTATCACTATTTTTAAACTAGTAATATTTTCCACGGATTTGGATTTGGATTTGGAATCCGAGGTCATGGTTCTCAGTCGGAAAAGGGTGGCTTGTTCCCTTCAGTGTTGGTGGGGAGTTCCTGCCTCAAGTGGAGGAGTTCAAGTATCTTGGGGTCTTGCTCACGAGTGAGGGAAGGATGGAACGGGAGATTGACAGGCAGATCGGTGCAGCTTCTGCAGTAATGCGGTCGATGTACCGGCCCGTCGTGGTGAAGAAGGAGCTGAGCTGTAAGGCGAAGTTCTTGGTTTACTGGTCGATCTACGTTTCGACTTTCACCTATGGTCATGAGCTTTGGGTCATGACCGAAAGGGCAAGATCCTGGATACAGGCCGAAATGAGCTTTCTCCGCAGGGCGGCCGGGCGCACCCTTAGAGATAGGGTGAGGAGCTCGGTCACCCAGGAGGAGCTTAGAGTAGAACCACTGCTCCTCCACATCGAGAGGAGCCAGCTGAGGTGGCTCGGGCCTCTGTTTTCGATGCCTCGCTTTCCCAGGGAGGTGTTCCGGGCATGTCCCACCGGGAGGAGGCCCCGGGGAAGACCCAGGACACGCTGGAGGGACTATGTCTCTCGGCTGGCCTGGGAACACCTCGGCGTTCCCCCGGAGGAGCTGGAGGAAGTGTCTGGAGAGAGGGAAGTCTGGGCATCTTTGCTTAGACTGCTGCCCCCACGACCCGGTTCTGGATAAGCGGAGGAAAATGGATGGATATTTTCCATGCTCAGTGGTTTGGGGAAAAGAATAATGTTAAGCTACTTAGACAAATTTAAAAGTAATACTGATGACACTTGTATCCAAAGTGGAATATTTATTAAATAATGACAGTCTTTTGCCTCAAAGTCATATGAATCTCCACTCTGCAGCTATATTTATTCTACTGTTGTGAAGACAAACACCCTAAAACTCATTTTATTACTCCTGCAATTCTTCCATAGGAGGTCATGTGAGAACGTGATTAGCTTTGCATGTATTTAAACCAAACATAAACCAAACACTTGACAAATTAAAATTTTGAACTGATGATGGTGTTAAATGAAAAAGTTATAAAATCAGTAGACATTACAGCTCATCTCTGTGGGAACATAATCATCTGCATCAAAAGATGTTGAGACTTTAATTGAAAACCACAAACTTCAACCTCATTGTGGTTTCAAGAGGAAGACCAGTGGACCGCTACAATTTGTAGAATTCATTATCTGGAGACTGTAAATGTATCAATGTATCTAAAATCATAGTATCCAGTAGTTAACAGTTGCCATGCTGTCGGCTAAACACTAACAGCTGGGGGGTATTTTATTGTCTAACTCCAGTATTTTTCAGCATATTTGCAACATGTTATATAAAAACAGCTCTAGCTGAATAAATAAGTAAATAAATGATTATTGTCATTAAAATTTATTCCTGGCAGTGTGGAGAAGGCTATGAAAAGATATTTAAACCTCCATGTTGAGAAATAACATTTAGAGGCATTGTATTTTTACAATTTAAAGCTAATAAGTTACAAAAAGAGGAAAAAACCAAAACAATATAAAAAAAAGTAATTTTTGGTGGTGAAGGGAGGGAGGACTTATGACTCCACTATTTATAAAATCTAAATCCAATTATACCATGCTGTCTGTTTACACTTGGCAGAGAGATAGTGACCTTGTCATACCTTATTTTGAACTCCTGTGGTATGGCTGTAATATGCCTAGAGGGACTTTTTTATTAATCTGTTGGTGTGAATGTGTGATGATTATTATATTTACCATGACGGACACATGCTGCAGGCCACAGAGCAAGTACAAACTGTAAGCCTGCAGCAGTGACACCAGATGGATGGTCTGACATTATCATTTCAGCTCAAGTTGGAGGCCTCTTCCCAGTAAAAGGGTTAAAGTCCGGTCTTGCGCACACTGCAAAAAATGTCAAACTTCACATTCACATTTGTTATTTTGAGCCATAAAACGTGAACATGTTCTAAAAATGTAAAGACAATGACAACCTCTGAATATTAAGGGATAAATTATTATTTTCTTACACGTTTTGATAATTATTGTATTTGCAGCTTGTAAAGAAAAGGACTCATTTTTTTGCAGTGTGTTGTTGTGAACAGGGCGGGGCTGAGAGGGGAGGTTTCCTTCGCATCGAGAGTGTGTCTTTGTGTGTGTGTGTGTGTGTGTGTGTGTGTGTGTGTGGAGATAGTGAGAAGAGTCAGCTGGTTGTAAAGTGCAGAGTGCGACCAGTGCGTGTGTTTGGACGTGTGTAGTTAATGTGTGTGTAAGGAAAGCTCTTTGGGAAAGGGGAGGGTGGGGGGAAGGTGAAGACAACAGAAGAGTGGACAGAGTTTCTGGGGTGGGGGGCAGTTTGCGTGGAGACCCATAGGAGGACAGTCGAACCGCGCCGGCTGCTGCTCCGTCGTGCATCCTGGACACGAATACTCAGCTGTGTTCCAGCCTTTTTATTACTGTAAGCACGTTGGCTATTTGTTTGGAAACTAATTTCTGTCAGTAGAATCGCATATGGTTTAACTCAGTATCAATAATTCTTCCTATAGATGCACATTGTTCATGTACAGTGATGCAAGTGAGAGTAGACGCTTTTAAAATCATTTTATATTTTATTGATCAGAAAATACTTATAAATAAATATGACGTTTTCTGAGATACAAACTTACTGTAGGCTGCACACCTTTAAAAGTCTGTCACTGTAGGCAATGTGCTACTCCTCCTGGTGTTCTGTATGAAAGGATGTTATCCTCTGACACTACATCACTGCAGTTGTACTTAGACTGTGCTGGTGATGGTGGAAGGGAGTTTATATCTTGTCATAAAATGACACAGCTCCTCATCACACCAGCCAGCCCATGATGCTCCATTGGTAAAAAAATTCCTCTATAGTGACTGTTTCATTTACTCACTGTAACTGCTTCTTCCATTAATTCCAACTTTGCAAGGCAGTCATCTGAACCCACAGTACATAAAGAAGCTACTGCATCAGGGAGGATAAGCTGACTGTGTTAGCTTGATGTCTGTATGTGTTGATGGTCTATCATAAAGCTCCATTAGGCGAGGTTTAATGTAGCTAATCTCTGCATGCAGCTGAACTTCCTCCTTCCTTCCTGGTGCATAAAGAAGAGTACAGGCTATTTAGGATCAGATAACATTAAAGCCTATAAGAGATTGTGAATGGCGGGCTGTTTGTGAGATAGAGGATGAAGGGTACAGATGGAAAGTATGCCACGAGGTTGTCACTTTTTACTCACTTGATGAGAGAATACGGTCATAATCAATAAAAACCTGGGAAAAAAAAGCTCTCGGTGTCAGCACCTGAGTCAGTCTGTGTTCGGAAAGATGTAAGCTTGGACGTTTTATCCACAAACACACTCACATGTGGCATTATTAAGTTGCTCCATGTCCCATTTAATTCCCTAGATCTCCCAGTATGACCAGTAAAGCTGAATTAGTCCCCTTCTCTGCAGGAGGAACCACAAATGTCAGCAAATGTCAAACACTCGGCGCTTTGGCTTTGCTTACAGGCTTATTAGCTGTACATACAATCAACCCTGCGTGCCCCTTTGGCCAGCATTTTGGTTTGTGTGCACACACATAAGCCTATGCAAGAACATGCCAGAAATAAAACTAGTCACAGTAAAAAATAAAATAACAAAGGTGTGCAATTATCAGTGGAGAACTGTATAAATTTCCATGCTGTAGACACACATTCTCAACCAGCCAAGTGACCCAAAGATAGTTGAAACAGTAATTAGTGGGGTGAAAAGAAAGGGAGAAAGAGGAGGAGGAAGAGATATTGTTAGAACCATCTGATATCTGTTATATAATGAACTATATAATGGAGACATGTTAGGAGAGAACCTGAAGAGAAACCAGCAGTCAAAGGGTGAGAGGAGCTATTTAGTGAGAGAGATACATAGTTCAGTGTGTATGTCAGTTTTCTGTAACTCTGTTGAAAGCAGTATCAGTTGCAGTACTTCCCTGAAATTCATATGCGGGCTGGAGACATAACCGCTTTACTAAGGTATTTCGTCCTTTGTGGAGTGTTATTTTTTTTGAATTGAGAGAAAAGCCCAGTTTATATGCTGGACATCTGCAGATTTTGTTGGTGATCTGGGATTTTTGCTAGCAGGCAAGGAAAGGATTTTCTAGGCAATACAATGAAACAAGTGGATAAAGAAACCTGACTCTAAGAACGACAACATGCAAGGCCAAGGGATACATTTACCTTTGTGTTTAAGTGGATGGAGTGAATTTTTGGGTATGACCGCAAGATACGGAATTATTTTTAACACTAATGAAGGCAATGTGGATGAAAATGGTCTATTTATTCAATAATGCAGGAAAATAAATTCATGTATATACTGTAGGCACGTAATAGTTTTTATACTACAAACTGCGCAAGACTCAATGCTGAACAGCTTGAGATCTTTATTGCAGTCTGTGTATATCCTCTTTCCAAACACAACTTCTCCCGGCACACACACACAGGAGTTAATGCTGCACAATGCCATGGATATGCCCCCCCACTTCCCCTCTCTCTTAAGGTTTGTTTGGGAAGTGACTTGTGTATGTGGCTGTGTTTACATTGGATATTGGGGAGGCGACAGTGGTGCAGTGGGTAGAGCACCACCGGAAACAAATTCCTTGTGTGTAACATACTTGGCCAATAAAGGTGATTATTCTTACTTGCTGTGCACATGTTCATCTATGCATGCACATTCATTTGCACATGCAGGCATTGTTCTCTGTTTAGCAGAGAGTGGGGAGAAGGGTCTTAAGGCATACCAGTTAGATACCGGTTACACAAAGTTATTGCCGGGTGGTAAGTGATGTGACAACACTCACCTTGGGTGTTGCATCCGTTTGACGAATTCATTTGTGTGTGTTCCCTGATGACTTTTTCTTCATCATTAAAGTCCTTTAGTGAGTTTGTGCTTTCTTCTTTACTTTGTTGTGATGCTTTCCTTCTTTTCATTCAGTTTGTTTTCTGTGTTGTATCCTTGCTTCATGTGCAGGTTGCTGGTGACACAACCTAGGTGTGACTCCCCACGGAGAGAACACTGAAGGAACACCATGGCCTTAGCAGGATGCCCTGACTACTTCTTACATCACTCAAACTACCAGGTAAATATTTTGTGTCCTTACTGTATATGCACTTATTCATTTAGCTTTGACAGTTGTTAGTCAGCATACACAATACCAGTGCTCACTGTTATTATAAATACCTTTTAGTTTAAATGTCTCCTGCTTCATATACAAACTCGCTGATATAAAAGTAAAATCCTGTGATTGTAGTGGTCCTCATTGTTCACGCTGGACAAACAACAGCATTGGAAAAGTATAATTGCTAGTGTGTTTTCCATTTCAGGTGTAAGACTTAAGGGTTAGAGTTAAACAAAAATCCTAACCTTTAAAGAGTTAGCTCTTAGCTAACTGCTCATATACGTGATCCACTGAACTCTGGCCAATAAGTCATGTCACCTAGTAATGTCACCTTTCCCCCACATCATAGCACTTAGATTGGTGAGTAAAATCTTATCATAATGAGCAGAATTAATGAAAAAAGCTACAGAAAACCAGGTCATTAAAAAGAGTAAACAAAACAACATGAAAACACAACAGTGATGTATTATCAAGGTGTATAAATCTTGTCTATTCACTTGTATATTCACCAGACACAACACTACATTAACATTTGTTTATAATGTTTTTGTCTTGTTGCTTGGCCACGAGAGGAGCTAAATCCAATATTTACTCTGTCTTGACCCTGTTTTAGGTCCCTCCAAAGTGCTTTGTCTGTTTATTGATTGAGATTTGTGTTGAAAACGGCTGCCTGCTGTGGCTAGACACTAGGTTGATGACAGTGTTGTGAACTATCAGCATTTGTAGACTGGTAAACCAAAACAAAGAGGTAAAGCAGGCTGAAACACTTCATAGAGCTGATGGCAACAGCACAAGTACTGGTAATTCTCTGTGTTGTCACTTTGAGTGGCACTATTCAGATTTCCTTCATTAATTCATTTAAACATATTGATTAGTTCAGCTTTATGGCTTTATATTTAGGTTAATACAAGGGTCTAGGTTTGAGTTATGACTCAAAGAAAGACAGTTCTCACAGGCAAGCATAGTTTCACAAATCTCTCCATATGTGTACCGACATGTGTTCAGTGGTTTGCAGGGTCTACTTGATTCACAGTGAATGACTCATGGCCTAGTTTGGTGAACATGGCATCTGTGCAATACAACAGACCCACTTCCACTGTCCAGCTCCTGCAGAATGCTCCCTTTGTTTCTCAGTTTGGATTTTCTCCTCTCCAACCCTCCAGTAACCTAAAGAATTTGGCTAAAGAGTAAAATGGAGGTCTATAAATAGAGTGCTAAACAAACAACAAAATAATAAAACTGTGGGCATTGTTGTGTGACAGGCTTGAAATCATGGGACTGATAGAATGATGTTTTACTGGGTCCAATGAGACGATGGAGGTGACGTAGCCTCAGCTGCGTTATTCCTCTTAGTGGTGTTAGAAAAATGCAGCCCCCTGCTAACCCGAGTGTGGGACTGCTGAGCCCCTGTTGAGCTGACATTAAGTTGGATTGGTTCACGTAAGTTTCCAGGAAAGGGTTTTGCACCAGTAAGACTGCAGTGAATAGTGAATTGAATCCCCATAGAAAACAACATTCCTCCACCCTGCATCTTGTGGAGTAAAAACAGAGTTGTATAGTTAGAGGGAGAGAAATGGTTTACAACATTGCTGTGTGTGTGTGTGTGCGTGTGTTATATAAAGCTTACCACTTGACATGACACAGCATAGCACACACACATACGCGCCATGGAGTCACTCTGTAGACAGCAACTGAAGGTTTAGCGTGTATAATTGTGTGTGTATAGACAAGGAGCTAATGAGCCCTCTTTGCTACATACTTATATAACCTTATACATAGCACATGTTTGGGAATCTGGCCAGCATTCCAGGGCTGTCTTTGAAGCGTGTGTGCCGTATTACTGGCATTATGGGGACCTGCTTACACAGTCACTCCGGGGACTTGGCTTTCCCCGTGGGGACCAGCTGCTGGTCTCCACCATGTAAAATCATTCAATTTTAGAGTGACAACTTTAAGGTTAGGGTAAGGGTTATGCAAGTAGTGGTTTTGGTTAAGTATAGGGAAAAATATCCTCTGCTCTGAATGTCAGTGTATGTGCCAAAGGTCCTGATCATGACTGTTGTGTCTGAGAACACCGACTACAGCTCTGTCTTGATGTTCTCAGAGGTCAGCCACTCTGCACAGCGATGGGCTTGGGTTTGTGTTTTCTAGTGTGTATCTTTTGATGTGCTGAGAGAAAGTATGTTTAAAAGAAGTTTACTTGTGATGAAAGAGGTGTAAAGTGTAGAGGTGTCCACGAACAAGAGCAGCCACGGTATGTCAAGGTGACTGAGAGTCTTGGCCCTAGAGTTCATACACAGCTACTGCTGACTCCAAGAACCAAGACATTATGTAACTTTGAGATGTCAGGATGATCTGGGACGAGATATCACGAGAAATAATGACTCAAAATCACTCAAATCTAAGATAGCTACAAAGGTTGATATGATAGTGTTTCTTAACTTAGCATTACTATGGCGGGCTGTCAGTGGATCAACTTGGACCCCTTGACACACTGAATCAAACCCCTCTTTCACAGCAAAAGAAAGATTGTTCTTGTATTAAAATATGAGGTTCCAAACTTGTTTTGAATTTGGTTGTATTAATATAAGTACAGTATGTATTTAAAGAATAAATTAGACCTGTCAGAGTTTGTAGTATCTGTCTCTCTTATCAGCTGACTCCTAGGCAGGTCCAGAATCAGTTTCTGGCTGACTACTTCTTCCACCTTTCTTCTTTAATTCTTGAATCATTTATACCTTTTTTACCCTCTCCAAGTTTCTGTTTCCACTGTTGCATGCTTTCTGTCTGTCTCCCTCTGTTTTGCTTCCTCTCTTGGGCCTGTTCCTTGGTTTACTTCTAGCTGTATATTAACTCTGCTGCTAGAACTGGGACACCGTCCTGCCTCCACACAGTGTATACAAATACACTCTCATGTCCAGGAAAAGGCAATTCCATAATATAGTGTTGACAGTGCTGAAAGAAGGTTAACAAAGGTCTCAGGGTCGTGATTATCAAAAACATACCTGAACCATTTAAACAATCTAGCTGCATTGTTTTTACATTTGAGTGAGTTGTGTGAATGCTGTGTCCTTATGGCTGCAGCATTACAATTGTTTTTAAATATCTTTACATTGTTTTCTCCACATTTCCCCACAATAGCAGCCAGTTAGCTTAGAATGGGGAAAGAGAAGCAGGGGAAACAGCTACTGTAGCCTGGCTCTGTCCGACAGCAGCATAATCTACCTACCAGCACTTCTTAAGCCTGCTAAATTAAAATATTACATCTACAACAGTTCTCGGTTTTGTCGGGTTTTATGTGCCAGAGACTTCAGCCCTGAGCACTTGCAAGGCAGTGAGTGGCAATTCACTGATGCAGTGACAGCTCCTAGCTAAGAAACAGCCAGACTCATAAAGTACCATAAAATTAATTGTGGTTTTTACATTTTAGCTTTTCTACAGGTTAGACAAATGAGATATGACATTTTGATTAGAGAACTTTAGAGGTCTGTGTGTAGCCACAACCAGGTTATCTGTTTCCAGTCTTTACAGCATGCTAAGCTAAGCTAAGATATTTGGCTGTATTAATGACATGCATAAAGTATCCCATTAAGTAACTTTGGGATCTTCATTAGAGTCTAAAATAACATTTTGTGAGTTTGAACAATGATTGGCCATATGGTATAAGTTTAAACAGATGGATCTACCTGTGCTTGTTTGAACAGGAATCCTGTTTTCTGTGAATTTAGAGAAATGCTCACTGTTGTTTGCATGTTGCCTTCCATGCTTCTCCCATGACAAGTAAGGTATACTATGTATAAGAAGGAATTTAGTAGGTAAGTTGTTTCATCTCAGCTGGTTGTCTCTAGCTGAAGCCTGCAGACTTTCTCTGTCAGCCCACAGGCCCTGAAGCCAAGTTGCCTTCCTTGGAAAGCTTTTGGCTGCTGCTTCTTAGAGCTATAAATCTTACTCTGGGCATTTATGGATGTTTTCGAAGCACAGAGGGGAGCTGCAAGAGTGTGTATGTGCATACATGCACAACAGGGTCTCTGACCGCAAGCAGTTCCTGGAAGCAGTGTTTCCTCGTTCTTCTTTTTCCTGGAAAAAAGATTGAAAAGCTATTTTGCTTTTCCCCTCCTTTTCTCATCTGCAGCTCTGTTGCCTTTAGGCTGCTTCAAATTAGACAATGTGTGAAGACCTTGGCAGTGTGAGTATGTGTGTATCTCCAGACGTGTGAGGTTGTCTTTAAGTGTTAAAGTGTGCCTGAGTTGGTATTTTTTTATTCTAAAAATGATTAATCTCTGTGTGTTTTTTTTTTAATGCTTAAATCAGTTTCTCATGTGAGTGTGTATGTGTGTCAGAGAAAACAGAGAAAAGGTCAGGGGGTCACAAAGTCACAGCGTCACAGGTTCAAAGTGTCACTTGGCTCTGAATGAAGCCCGACGTTCCTTAAGGGTGGATGCATGAGCCCACCCTTTGTTTGACTCTCTGAACTCTGTGAAAATAACACACTGTCTTGCCTTTCACTAAAATATCTGACATCAACCCGCTGTTTGTTTTTTTTAACCACTAAAAAGAATATATATTTTTTTAAAACAGGAAAGCATGGACCGCACCTCATCTCGTCAGACCAAGGAGCTGATTGTTCCAGGCTTTCAGCATTCAGCCAGTCAAAGCTTGCACCATGGTAACCTTCCTCTCCTTTCCTAAATATGAAATATGGCTGTTTATCTTCAATCTCTTACTCTGTACTTTTCATGTTAAAAAAAAGAATGATTCAACAGTTCTTTTCATATTTCATAATCCCCTCCCTCCCTCCCTCTTCATCTCTATCTAGGACATTGTCTTCCTCTATCACTGCAGGCTGCTCTGTTCTCCAGATGGGGAGGTCACCCCCCCCCTTTTTTCCCCCCACTACTCAGCACTTTTTCTGCGACCTGTTTGGGAAGCTGCCAACCAGAGTAGAGCATAGGTTGTAAATTCTCCATCCCTGACCTCTTTTGTTCTTCCTCTCTTGAGGTGGTGGTATAGTGGCTTTTCTGCTCTGGTGAGGTGCCATGGTCATGCTTGTGTTAGAGTATTGTAAATTTGGCTTCATGTTGGTGTAGTGAGTGGATGGGATGTTTATATAGGCCTGTAGGCCATCCAGTGCTATAATAAGTGGGCCATAGATCCTTGGAGTATAGCAAAAATTCTACTCTATTGCTTAATACATAAAGGGGCAACACTGGATATCAAAAAATTATGGAAATACTTTTTTCAGAGCAAATTTTCTACTGATACTAGCTACACTGAACCAGAATGCAATGCCATGACTGTCAAATTCACACAACATTAAACAGATTGAGGGAAATGGAAAAACAATAACTTCTATTTCTATAACTGCAATAGAAGTTGATGAATCAGGTTGAGGGGAAAAGGGAAAAGTACATTACAATTGTTAATCATAAAAAATTCATAGACTGCACTGAATTAAACCACAAATTTATGACACTAACAGGATAAGAGTACCTGAGGGTATCACTGTAGTCATAGACACAAGTACTACATAAGAAATAAGATGAAAACTATGTCTGAACTGTTTCAGCCAGACTGGTCAAAATTTCCTGTGCTAAAAAGACTATCATTATAGTTGTAGAAGCAGTATGTCATAATTATTCATTGTTTTCCAGGTGATTTGTTCTCTTTTTAGTGTAGCTGAGTAAGTTTTCTTGATAATATATTAAATGGAAAAAAGCAAGAGTCAAGGTCATCCAGCTAATGTTTCATTCTGACTTTGCACGACGGAGAAATATCACATCAACTTCTCAGATGGATGTGTTGTATATTTAGACCATGCTTGGCTCCGGTTACCTGGCCTTCAGTTATGCTAGGCCTGACTTTTTTACAATCTGATGATGTATCTTGATACATTCCATGGTGTCCTCTGCACATGAGTTAATTCACTGAGTATACCTACAGCCCTCAGCTGGTTATTACTCATAGCTTGAGGTTTAAACATTAGTAACTTGCATCACAGTAATTACTGATTAGAGACAAAAACATGAATCATTCACTTTATCCACCCACTGTTACACATCATGTTTAGAGATTGAAATTTAAGACCTCACTAGTTATACTTTCACTGAAAACATGTGCTTCCCACAATGCAAAATATGAATACACTTCCAACTCGAACATAAAACAACAACTACAAAACTGTACAGTATGTTTACAAGAAAGCAAATGTGAATTTTTTATGCTCAGTGTAACTAGAAAATTTTTTAAATTGCCCATAAAGTTGCACTTTGCACTGAAAAAGCTGAATGTCTAGCTCTCTTTTCTGATCTCTGAGCTGCCATCCGAGATCAATGATCACAGGTTGCCGTGGCCGGGGCACAGAGCCCCCATTCAGTATATTCTGGGATCTACACATGAATGAGTTGGCCATGTCAGATGCTGGCCAGAGTGCTGCAGCAGTTCATCTTCAATCAAAGTCACAGTTAATAGAGGAGAAGACACTTTTATGATCTATTTTGTATAGACTTCGCCCTCTAAGAGCTATTGCTATTGGGTTTAATACTTGCGCATGTGCAATCCTGGAGAGATTCTTTCGCGCCCTGTGCCCTGCACTGTGGTGGCATAAATGCCAATGTGACCTGTGATCAGCTCCCTCGTTTTCTTCAGCAGTCTAAAGAGCAATTCCTTCATCATGGCTAAAGAGCAAAGATCCTCAACGCTGGACTCCAGCACCGCACCGCCATCACCATGTGCCCAGGCTGTGATATGGGCTTCATCATGCCCAGCGACCCATGCCCTCGCTGCAAGGCCTGCCTCGGCACAGAGCACGCCGAGCTGACACTAACCCCCCAAGCTGCTTGCCCCCTCTGTACTCGCTTGCCCATGGCAGAGAAGCAGCACCGGGCAGAAGAATTCGCAGCTGTCAGAGAGTGGGATCCTGACAATGACAGCAGCTGGGCGAACCTCGGCGATGATCCCTTGGCAGATGACCCCCTGGAGTTCCTCGGCGTGGATGGGCCTGAGTCCATTGACTTGCTCCCTGCCATCGCTGGCTCCCTCAGTTCTCCCCCAATCCATCGGTTAACATGGATGCCAACGGAGACAAGCTTTCTCTGGCTCAGCAGCATGCTCTCGCCGCCAGTCAGCCTCTAGCATTCAGGGCTCTGCTCCACGTTCTGCCGGAGATCATCAGAAAGATGGCAGACTGCGAGGGCATTCCCCTACTGCTGGCTGCCCCCGCTCCCTCCCATCGGACATGATGGGTGATTTCTGCAGATGAGTCAGAAAAGGAACTGCATGATCTCTGTTCAGTTCGTGCACTGTTCCATTACGTAGCTTGCACGGCAGCTGTCAGGCAAAGACAACAGTTGTTTGTGCATTACAAGAAGCACTCTCTTGGGCAGCTTCTAACCAAGCAATGGCTGTCTCACACATTGTATGAGGTTGTCACGCAAGCATACGTGTCAGCTGGGAGTGATCCTCCACCTGACATCAGAGCCCACTCCACAAGAGCTATTTCTTCCTCCACTGCTCTTTTCAGGGGGATGGCTGTGGAGGACATTTGCACAGCAGCCTCCTGGGCTTCTCCATGTCCTTTTACCCGTTTTTACCTTTGGGACACATCAGAGTTTTCACTGACTCCCTTTTTCTAAATGTTCTGCACAATTGAGAGGCTCCTCCTGGTGTGAAGCACCTGCCACCGGGCTCTGATACTGCATGTGTATTGTTCACTCGAGAGGTTATCTGTCGGCTAATGCATTCTCACTGACTGTGCTGTCAATGCATGCCACTGTCGTCTGTGTGTGTCTTCACTGCCTGCTCAGATTCTCTAGCTGTGCGTTATCCATGGTACTCCCGTTCTCCTGCCTGTTCCACCCACTTGACCGTGGCTGGCCACCAGCATCATTAGGCTTTGTCCTCTGATCGAACTGTGCATATTATGATATGAGAGAACAGCAACACATATGAGCATCTGACTGTTATCATGTGTAGCTATTGTCTGTATACTCTCACAACTCAAACATTTTAAAAGACTGTGCGTTTGTCAGGCGCACACGCTCACTGTGTGCTCTTCCCTGCACTTCTCCCCTGTTAAACACTCTGCCTTCTCACAGTGGCAGTCAGGTGTTATATGGGCATGATTGCACCTGCTTCTCAGTCAAGGCCTGATGCAGGGAGAGGACAGTGTTTTGGGCTGCTATTGTGGGGTATATTGGCAAGCTGAGGTGTTGTTTTAACACTCTTGGGAGACGGTGTGCCAGCAGGGCATTGACTAGCTGTGCTTTTATCCCATTAGCGACAGCTCTTATAGGGCGAAACCTATACGAAATACAGTGGGGAAAAGAATTATTTGACCCCCTGCTGATTTTGTAGGCTTGCCCACTTACAAAGAAATGAAAGGTCTATAATTTTTATCCTTTATTCTAAAGGATAGAGACAGGATATCAACAAAAATTCCCCAAAAAGCATGATACAAATGTTATAAACTGAATTGCATTTCAGTAAGTAAAATAAGTATTTGATCCCCAAGCAAAACATGACTTAGTACTTGGTGGAGAAACCCTTGTTGGCAAGCACAGAGGTAAGACATTTCTTGTAGTTGGTTACCAGGTTTTCACACATCTCGGGACGGGTTTTGGTCCACTCTTCTTTACAGATCACCTCTAAATCCTTAAGGTTTCTTGGCTGTTGCTTTGCAACTCAAAGTTTCAGCTCTCTCCATAGATTTTTCTATTGGATTAAGGTCTAGAGACTGGTTAGGCCACTCCATAACCTTAATGTGCTTCTTGTTGAGCCACGCCTTTGTTGCCTTGGCGGTATGTTTTGGGTCACTGTCATGCTGGAAGAGCCATCCACAACCTATCTTCAGTGTCCTGGCTGAGGGAAGGAGGTTCTCATCCAAGATTTTACAGTACATGGCCTCTTTCTATTGGCCCTTCAGTGCAGCAAAGTCGACCTGTACCTTTAGCAGAGAAACAGCCCCAAAGCATAATGTTCCCACCTCTGTGCTTGACTGTAGGGATGGTGTTCTTAGGCTCAGCATTTTTCTTCCTCTAAACACGGCGAGTCGAGTAGATGCCAAAGAGCTCAATTTTGGTCTCATCTGACCACAGCACTTTCACCCAATCCTTCAGTGAATCATTTAGATGTTCATTGGAAAACTTCAAAGGGCCTGTAGATGTGCCTTCTTGAGGAGGGGGACCTTGCGGGTGGTGCAGGATTTCAATCCATGGTGGTGTACTGTTTTACCAATGGTTTGTTTAGTGTCTGTGGTCCCAACTGCTCATTCACAAGCTCCTCCCGTGTAGTTCTGGGCTGATACCTCACTTTTCTTGTGATCATTCTTACCCCATGAGGCGAAATCTTGCATGGACTTCCAGACCGAGGTGATGGTTAGTTTGTATTTCTTCCATTTGCGAATAACCACTCCAACTCCAAGTTGTCTCCTTCTCACCAAGCTTCCTCCTGATGGTTTTGTAGCCTGTTCCATCCTTGTGCAGGCCTACAATCTTTTCCCTGACTTCCCTTGACGGCTCTTTGGTCTTGCCCATGGTGGTGAGGTTTGAATGGAAGATAGAGATTCTGTGGACATGTGTCATTTATACACATAATGATTTGTCATAAGGAGCACCTTCTTAAATTGACTGGACTAATTTGTGCACTCACATGAGCACATACCCAGTTTGTGGGAGCCAGAATTATTGTTGGTTGGTAGGGGATCAAATACTTATTTTACTCACTGAAATGCAACTCAGTTTATAACATTTGCATCATGTGCTTTTAGGGGATTTTTGTTGATATTCTGTTTCCTTTAGAATAAGCTTGTGATAAAAATTATAGACCTTTCATTTCTTTGTAAGTGGGCAAACCTACAAAATCAGCAGGGGATCAAATAATTCTTTTCCCCATTGTACCATCACTATCCTCTTGAAACTGCACAAGGCTACATGCTTGTATTAAGAGAGCTGGATATGGCACTGGCACTGGCAGCCACTCGGTTGTTAAACGGAAAAATTCCCCTGCATCCCAAATGTAATTTCCTCATAGAAAGGTGATTATAAATTATTAAAGATTATAGAATATAAAATATATTTTCTGACAGTTTGACAGGACACCTGTAGCTGCAAACTAGACTTGTTTCAACTCTTTATGTAATGATTTTTTTAATCTATGGAGATTTTATATATTAAAACCTTTCTACAGCCTAGAAAACTAACATTTTTTTGTGACGACATTCTAATGCAAAGTACAGTATATGGGCCGAGCCAGCTTTACTTTGTTCACTGTCGTAGTTAAGCATGCTAGCATGCTGACATTTTCTAAGTAGCTCTAAATGCTAAGCACTGTTGAGACCATTGATATACTGTATATATGATGGACACTCCATCACCACTTCCCTCCACTATGCCAAAGTGAAGTGAAAATATCTTGAATACGGCAGCTGCTTGTTTTTTTGTAACTAGAGTCTGTGCAATAGTGAACAGAAGCTGAGTGACTGCATCAGGCCACCACTGAAAGCTGTGAAATATATTAAAATACACCTTTTTATATCATCAAATAACATTAAAAACAAACTTACCAGAAAAATGACCATGCGCAAAACCACAGAAGTGACCTCTGGAAAAAATTTATTTGATTTGTACTTTAACTTTCTAGTTTGGCTCATGCCCCATCCACCAACATGGAGGAGGCGGGATTTATGATGTACACTGCAACCAGCCACCAGGGGGCGATCATGTTACAGTGTCATTCTGTTGTTTTTATAGTTGATTAAGAATGATGGGAATGTCATTAGCGTTGCAGGAAATCTAAGTACCAGACTTGAATATGGCACTAGATGAAAATGAAATGGATCAGTGATGTTATAACAGTTCATCCTAAGAGGTTCATAAATGCCTGTACCAAACTGTATGGCAATCCATCTCAAAGTTGTCAAGACATTTACTCATAGTCACAAAGCCCATCTTTTTTGTACTAGAAAGAAACCAAAGTCATAAGAATTCATCATCAGGGCACCTTGAATTCCTGTATGAAATGAATAGAAGCCCATCCAACAGTTGTTGAACAGTAGGCTAAGTGACTGATGACATCCCTAGAGCCATGTGGCTAGTGTGCCTGTAAAGCATATATTGTACACTCCTCAAATCTGTTTTTTTTTTACTGTTCCAATCATAAAAGTATACATTTTAAGGCCAACCCTCAGAGAAAGAGATTTTTGTTTTTTATAAATGTCTCATCACATGATTTAAGGACATTCTGCACCTGTTATCTGTTTTGGTTCCTGGTATGATGTATGCTTTCTCACTCTCACACTGTTATGACTTAAATAGAACAGAGAGCTCTTGATAATATTTAAATTCCACCTCTGCTTTTGCTACTGTGACAAGTAAAAATGTCCATCCAAATGTAATCCAAATTTGAACTGATTTTGAGAAAAAGGGCAAACGAAATGCAAATTAATATGTTTTTTTATCTAGTTTATCAAGATAAACAGCTGGTGGTATTGTTTTGCTAAATGTGTGCTATTAACATACTGCAGAAAAAAGGATGCATTAAGATAATGTAATGCTAGTGAAACCTAAAACAGTGAAAACATGTTTGTTTTGTTTGTTTGTTTTATGTTTCATGGCCTGAGTTTGTTTCATGTACTAATATGAGGAATTTTACACTCATCATCACTTCCACACAGCCCTGGTTTCATCTTCTACCATTTTTCACCTCTTGGAGGTTGAAGTCAAATGATTCTTGTACACCATGATTATTTCACTGTCTGTTTCCATGAACTTTGTCACATTTTGCTTAAATTAATACACCAACTTTTCCACCTTGCACAAACATACTGTAAATATGGCTTTGTGATATTTAGACTTTTTTTTTTTTTAATTTTCAGGGTTGTCACTAAAGTTTATTTAATTTGTAAATTTGAAATGCACATAAAAACAGCTGTGCAAAAGGCCTTTGCTATATTATAGCTTTAAATAATAACCATCTGACTGTCCTCATGTGCTCTCTTGTTCTTTTCCAACTGTGTGCCCACCCCGCTCTGTACACCCCATTCCATGTGCCACTCATCAGCCTTGGCATCACATGATCTGGTGTCCCAGAATGTCCTTTTGTGTGTGTGTGTAAGTGTAAGTGTAAGTGTCATACATTCCTCTTTGTGATTTGATATCAGACTCTTTCTGTTTTTGTTACAACGCTTGCTTGTAGGCTCAGTGTGTATGTTCTGTGTGTCTGTACATGCATTGCAGTGCTTTTTCTTTTTAATTGTCTTGTATAATTACATGCAGATGCTCATTACCACTTCATAGTGTACACAGTGTCCTAGGATCCTCCTGTGTTTGTGTGTGTATGTATTTTGGTGCCCTACTTTGCCCTGATCATTTGGTAACCATGTGAAATGAGCAGGCTGGTGAACGTTCCCAGTGCTGTAATTTCTTATAGGAATTTCAGGAATTCTGTATGTGGTGTTGTGGTGGGACACACACAGGGCCAAAGGGCTTTGGACACACACTCACTGTATACGCACACAAACAGAAACACATTGAGACATGCCTGCTTAGACGGATTTAACACTGGCTTTAATAGAGAGATGTCTAGCCTGCTAGTCCACTTTTCCCCACCAGCTGGCAGTGTACTTTAGCTTTTTTAAAAATTTGATTCAGAAAATAAGTTGTTGTAGGCCTGGGACAGGGTAAATGCTGAGTACAACTTGTAGGTCTTAAATTCATTTGTCTCTTAAGGGTGATTGATTTCTCTGTTAAAAGTGCTATAGAAAGTATACTGATTCAAAATTGAAGAAAAAAGGAGTAAATGAACAGCATGTCAACAAAGCACTTAGGGTAGCTTGCACAATTGCAAGTATGGCTTCATTTAATTAATGATTAGTTAAGTTGAAAGACAAGCACTGACTGTTCTGTGTGAGCAGCTCATGAGACCATTTTCATTCAGGTTTGGTGGTGTTAGTCGTTTGGGCTGTGGGTGGCTGTTTGCTCTTCCCATGTTTGATAGACAGGTTTCCCATAATCTGACCAATGGCAAGCCAGTGAGTGAGTGTACTACATAGCCATTGGAAGAAAACCAAGGCAGGGTGAAACCCAACATGAGGAGCAGTGAAACTCCAAAACAAGGCTGTGCTTTCTTTCTCTTTCTCTCTCTCTCTGGTTCAGAGGTGCAGTGTGCCTTTGGCAATTGATCATGTTAAATTACACACTAATTGAAAATGCCAAGGGGCAAACTGTGGCATTGTCTTAGTATTTACAGTACGAAGGAGACAAAAGGTCCAAATGCTTTGTTTGTTCATTGTAAGGCAGAGTGAAGCCATAAAGATATATTTTCACCCCAAATGAATTACTTTACTAACAGTTAGACAAAAAGGCTTTCGTAGTATTGGTGGGTCTTTAAAACGTATGTAGATATACAAGAGTCATGACTAAGAGAAGCAATCTGCTTAGCCAGACTTCATGTTTGTCTTGTTTTAGCTTTATTAAAAGCTTTTCTTATCATCTGTGAAGACCACAGGGACAAAATATACTGAAGTTTAGGTTTTCTTTTGTCCTGTTTTATTCATAACTAAACTTTGTTGCTACAGTTGATCTAGACTGAGCCACTTCAGTTTAATTTCCTTTTCAGATGACGTTATCACCACAGTCTCTAAAAGCTGTATTTTAATGACTGTCAGTTCCCTCTAGATAGTTTTAAAATGATCTCAAACACTGATAACCACTGAGGCGACACCTAGTGGAGATTTGCTGTTGGGCAACTGTCACTCCTGTCGTTGTTCCGCCCTTTTCCACCTCTTCCAATCCACAGATGATGATGATGTGGACCTGGAGCAACTGGTGAATGACATGAACGCCTCCATGGACAGCATGTACACTACGCAGACGGACACAGTGCTACTCCTGAACAATGGCTATATGCATGCTTCTCACCACCACCACATGCACGCTGCCTACCCAGGACATAGCCAGAGTCATCATCATCACACCCCGCCCCCTTCATCCCCCTCCAGGGAGAAGGCGCAGCACTCTCAGCCCATGCACATCCAGACCGTCAGGTAGACACAGATTCATTTTACATTACATAACAACTTGATATTTTTTGCTCATACAATGTGTTTCAGTTCTATTTGTTTATTTGTATTGCTTATGTCTGCTACCCTCTTGGCCAGGTCATTCTTGAAAAAGAGATGTTAATCTCAATGAGGCTTCACCTGGTTTAATAAAGAATAAATAAAATAAAAATGTACTATTTAATACTCAACATAAAGGCTGTTGATCGCACTGTGCATGAAAAAGTGTAGACATTAGCTAAAGATGAGGCTGTCTAAGGAAGAACACTGAGCCACTTGCTTGACTTTTGTTCTGTGTGTGCTTTTGATAATTTGTCAACCTCTGAAGATTAAGTTAAACTTTTTTTTTGTTGTCTTACTGGTTCTCTCTCAGCCTCATTGGATGTTACAATAAAGTGTTGACTATAAATCGCCAAAACTTTACAAGACAAAGCTTTGGCTCTAAATTTCTTTGCTTTTACATCCAAAATTGCAGAAATGTTTGCTTGATCAAAGGTCAGAGTTCAAATTATGTTGTAAGTCTAAGATATGATGTGCGTCTTACTTTTCCATACCCCAATTATACATGTAATCCTGTACTTAAACTGTTGTTAATCTTTGGCTGGGCATGACATTGATTGTGTGTGTGTGTGTGTCTCCCCCTGCAGGTGTCTGCAGGAAGAGCATCAACTTCGTCCAGCCTCCCTTCCGGCCATCCCCAACCCTTTCCCTGAACTCTGCAGCCCAGCAGGCTCCCCTGTGCTCAGCCCTATCCAGACCTCTGACAACCACGTATGTACACTTACTCCACCTCACGTGCGCTAACACACGCTCACTGAAATTATACAGCTGATTGGAGGAGGCTCAAGTGTCAGGTTTTCTTGATGGATTTGTGACTTTTTAGTGTTGTTAAATTAACTTCCCCCACTTTTTTTTGGCACATTTGACTGTTAATGAAGTCAAATAATTACATGAGCATGCCATCACACTTTGCAGCATATACTGAGAAAATAAATGCTCCTTGTTGTATTTCTTGTTCTTTATTTGACCACTATCACGGGAATGTGTGTGCACCTGGTATTACTTGCACTGTGAGGTCCAAAACCTGTATACCCACCCACATTGTGGGGACTTGCCTCATGGGATCCGGTCCCCACCAGATAAGTCACTGAATTTTAGGTTAGGGTGAGGTAAGGATTAAGGTTAGGACAAGTCTCCAGGGTATGAATGTAAGTCCATGTAAGGTGCCCACTAGGAATGAAGACAAATGTGTGTGTGTGGCCTGGTATTACTCATGTTGTGGAGATGTTAGTCTGTGTGGACTTGACTTTCCTTTGGGGACAAAAAGCAAGTCTCCAAAATGTAAATTATAACATATTAGTGATGATTTGATTTAAGGTTAGGGTAAGTGTCCAGGAAATGAATGTAAGTCAATGTAATGTCCCCTGAAGTAATGGAAACACAACTGTGTGTGTGTGTTGTGAAACCAGCTGACTGTCCTGTTGTGTTCAGGTCAGAGCAGCATGTGTTGACTTTGGCTGTGGACAGCCTTTCCTTCCATTACACAACAGCTCACCCTTGGTTATCTGAATGTATGTGTGGGTGTTATTGTGGAAGCATTATTATCAATCACATGCACACACAGACAGAGTGATAGACATGTTTTGCTGTGGAAGGAGGCGAATGTTGTCTCCAGGATGCTGCAGATGGAGTGCAGATTTCCGTAGTGGAGCTGGGAATATGGCTGGGAACGTCTGCAGGTCGGATCTCTCTGAACCTTTGAATTTGTCTGCTGACTCCAGGAAGACAGGCGCCCGTTTCCAGTTCACACGCTTCAGCCCTGACTGTTAGCATCTCTGTGTGTGTATGGTGTGCGTGGGTGTATGAGAGAGTGCACGTGTCGCAGTCTTCCCCTTCCTAACCCCGGTACCGGTAGAGCCTCCTGTCCCAGGAATGTTCCATCCCTCTCAAAGATGTTTTCAGGATGCCCACCCTGAACAATAAGTTATTTTAGATGCTTACTCACTCACTCTCTCTATATGCACACACACACACACACACACAGATGGCATTATTCAGTTCACATGCACATACATGTGATAAGGTAAAGTATTATTTTTTGCATTTTGTTGACATCTCACAAGCTCTGGAGTCTGAAGAGTGAGCCTGCACTTTGTATAAAGAACCTTTAGTGTATAAATGAGTTGAGAGCTGAACAGATGCCTCATGTTTCCCACAACGTCTTTATTTTGTCATTTAAGTACTGTCTTGTGTGAATAAACAGGCAAATAACCAGTCAGTACTTGTTATAAAGATGAAATATGTTTGTGTTTTGTGGTTATTAGTGGATTTAGACAGTTTTAACTGTTTGGGGTTTGTGTACAGTATATGCTTTGTATCTGACATCATCACTGCTTTAATGTTTCACACTGATAATGGCTCAGGAGCCTGGCAGCATTGTGCTTTTTTACTGCCTTTTGCATGGCATGTCAACGGGTTGGAGTGGGAAGGAAATTCTTCAAGACTGCTTAATGGCACAAAAACAAGAAGATAGGAGCATTCTTCCAGGGCCAACAGTGATAACGGTTGTGCCAAAAGTTAAAAGCACATGGAAAGAATCATTTCTAACATTCCACCATGTTGGTAGTCAGCAGAGGGGACAAACCTGAAGAAGCAGAGGGGGTGGCTGGGAGACTGATAAATGTGCGACTGCGGTCATGGCAATGACTCACCCAGTATAAAGAAACACTTCCAATATAATCTGATTCTCAGTACACAATCAAGAAGATAATTTGACATTCATACATTAATGTTTAAAGAGGCTACATAATGTAGTGTGTAGTGCAATCATTGTCATTGTAAGTGTGTTAGCATGCAGACATTAGCATTTAGCTCAGAGGCCTCTGTGCCTACAGTAAGTTCTGCCTCACAGAGCTACTAGCATGTCTGTACATTCTTGGTTTTGATTAACAGTGGTAATACCGTAAAACATTAACTGATCCCCTTCAGTGGATACATATGGAACTGTTGTGTACTTTAAATTGCTGCAGTGCTTAAAATGAGCCATGAGCTTCAACTGACTGAATGAATATTCAGCAAGAGCAGCTGCAGACTGGCCACAGTGTGGCTTTTAGCTCCAGCTGTCAGTGCTTTAGTTGGCATGCAATGTTGTGTAGTATCATATGTAAGCTAATGATTGAGTATATTATGTATGGATATGTGCTGGTTGGTTTAGCTATGCAGTTTAAGAAGCACTGAGGATAGCTTACACAACAATGCAGACGAGACTTGCAGAGTGGGATGGTCTACAGACATGGCTGCATTGTATTTTCATTGGCATGGATTAATCATAGGATCTCCCTCCAGCTGTAGGGTTGGAATCTGAACATTCTTCTCTAGCTTCAGTCATCCTCAAAGGGATACACAGCTTATCTTATGAGCCAGTAAACCTGTGTGTGTGTGTGTGACATGGCAGGTTTATGGCTCGTATTGCCTTGATAGCATAAATGGATTTGTCCTTGGTGTATTATGAACAGGCTACTGTAAATAGAGAATGTGATGCTGCATCTCCATCAGATTTTAGAAATAAGTTTGGGGGAATACCTGTCTCATAGTAAATCTCATTTAATTCTTTAAATGGACTGTGGTAGGTACTGGGGCTAAAACTAATTCAGTAGTCTGTGTGTAGTTTAACTGAGAGAAGCCATTTTCCATACTCTGGGAAGCTGTGGCACTCTTACACCGTGCTGTTTAGTCATAGTACCCTGGCTTTCAGAAGGATTTGGTCTGGTCCTGTCTGTCATCAATAGGAAACGGGGTTGGTTTGGCATCATGACTGCAGCTGTAACGCAACTCCTGCTTTGATTTGTGGCCAGAGACGTGGCATTATGAACATTAGGGATGGCAGGGAGCCTCAGTGATTCAAGAGACCTCTCTCAGCCAAAGAACTTGGGTTCAAGCCCCCTGTGCTGGCAAGCATCTATCCTGATGAAGTAGCTTTGAGTAAGATATTGAACCACCTCCAGCTATGGGTTCACTGCTCTGTAGCTGACCCCAACATCTGCCCTCCCGGTGAAGCAGGGGTTTAATGAAAAAAGGGCTGTGAAAAAGTCAGTTTCTCATAGTTTGATATGCAGTGTATGGCTTGAATATTGAAATATTTATGCTTGCAAAAGTTTACAAAAGTTAAAGCAGATTAGAAAAGCAGGAATCATACAATGGTGCTAACTACAGTCTGATCAACTGGAGCTTTTTCTTTGTTATGTGTGCCTGAGGTAGTGTGGGTCTGTTAGTCCCCCACTTTGATCCAGACTGAAACACCTCAGGAACAGCTGGATGAAATTTCATACAGACATTTATGGTCCCCACAGGATGAATCCTTATACTTTCTATAAGGCAACCATGAGGTTGACATTTTTGTTTTTTAGTGACATTACTCAGCAACTACTGGATGAGTTGGCATTAAATTTGGTACAGACGTTAATGGTGATCAGAAGATGATTTTTTTTTTTTTTTTTTGTAATTTTGGTGGTTTATCTAGTGCCAGCATCAGGTCAAAATTATATTTATTGTAATAAAATTGTATTTATTATATTATAAACAATTTGTCCAGGATTTATGACTAAATATCCACAGATGTTAGCATTGACCTCATCTTTGTTTTGGGGCGGCTGTGGCCCTGAAGGACATCGTAGACCCCCTACTGGACCCCCTGCAGTTTGCCTACCGAGCAAACAGGTCAGTGGACGATGCAGTCAACATGGTACTGAGGCTGGGGGCGGCTGTGGCTCAGGAGGGAGGGGGGGTCGTCTGCTAACCGGAGGATTAGCAGGTCGATTTCTGGTCAACATTTTGAGCAAGACACTGAACCCCCAGTTGCTCCCGGTGATGTCACCGGTGTGTGAATGTGTGAGCGTTTGGAAGTGCAAATGGGTGAATGACCAAGTAGTGTGAAAGTGCTTTGAGTGTGCTGTAAAAGCATAGAAAAGCACTTTACAAGTATAAGACCATTTACTATCTTTGTGTGTTTGCCAGTTAGTAAATGTTAGCACACTGACGCAAACAAAGATGGTGCACATAGTGTAGTACACATTACACCTGCTAAACATCAGCACATTAATTAACATTGTGTTTGAGAGCATGTGCACATGCTCAAAGCACTGCTGTGTCCGTGTGTAGCACAGGCCCACTAGTCTGACTGTAGACTCTTGTTTTCAAATTCTTTGTTGTCTAATACATGCCTGGACTAATGTTGTGATGGTTTCACCATCCTCTCCTTGAAATGGCTGGTTGCTTGTCGAGATAAGTAAGCTTATAATGAGAAGAATATGTCACTTCTAACATTGATCAAGATGCTTTACTATAAATTGAAGTGCAATCACTCAACCTGGGTACAGTTCAACAAAATTGGACATCTCTGACTAAATGTCTCAGTTGGAGTGTGGTGTGTGTGTGAAGATTTCCAGAACGTTTGAATTACCTCCCAGCTGTAAATGTATTATATGCCATGGCAATGTGATGGTTCCTCAGGGAACAAATGCTTGTGTGACATGCCTGAATGTGGCACTGTCAAGCTAGATTGTGTGTTTCAATAGAGACCATAAAAATGCAACCAGATGTTTAAGCGACCTCAGAGGGGTCAGAGGTCAGCGTTGTTGGTACACAGTATCCAAGCGAAATTTTGATTGTCAATGCCAAAGCCATTTTAAAATTAAGCTCTTTAAATGGACATAAGATGTAAGTTTACTTCCTGAGGAGAGAGCTGACACGCATTGGTTCTTGGGAATATATTGGATAAGATCAATGATATTCCTGTGTGTATCCAAGCAGGCAAACTGGGGATGGAGAGCTCTGTGTTTCCTGCACAGACACATACTGTAAATAAAAGAGGACCGTAGATGGGATCTTTTTGAAGAAAATCATTCGCTATGTAAACTTTTCTGATAACTCATTCTGGTTTGCTTTTTAATTGGAATAACTGGCAGGTCAATATTTGACTTATGTTCTGCTTTATTGGATTGATTTGATCAACGCCCACATGCTGCGTCAGTGTCGGGTCTTTGAAGCAAGTTGCTCAGTGAGGCTTTGTGATGGCAGTCGACTGAGGTGAAATTGAGTTTGGCTTGTCTGCAGAGCCAAGGCTTGAAACCTGACCACTCAGACATGAAAGACAAGCAGCGCTGTAATACAGTAGACCAAGGTGGGAAGTCACTGGCGCAACCAGCAATCAAATGCTGACAGTAGAGATGGGTGTATTAGTCTGCTGTGGTCATCTCTAACAGACAGACAGCTATCATGTGGACATTTGTAGCAGCTGGTGTAATATTAACTGTAGGATAATCTAAAAACTGGCTTTTAATTTAATAGCCTTAGCCATTTAACACAGTGTGTGTAAATTAAAATGGTTACAGCATTTAGATTTAATATAAAGCTTTATTACTGTATGTAATCAGGAAATACAACAGGAACTGATTTTTTATTGTCATACAGGCAGGAAGGAAGAAAGAAGAAACTACTTTTTTTTTAACCAAGGCCGCAGCAAACATGGCTCACTGACTCACCAGGTCATGGCCCTGATTTTGAATGCTAGAACGTAGCAGGGAGATGTATCACTTCCTGTGGTTCAGAGGCATCTAAAGCATTGTGTGTGATCAGGTGCTGAACAGACTAGACAGTAGCTTGCCAGATGTTGTCATGGGGACAAATACCAGCCTTGGTCTTCCATGGTATTATCACTCAGCATATTTATGCTAAAGTGGAGCATGCAGCACCGCTGATCAGCCAGGGAAATAAACTATTATGTAGGCGTTGTGCATTTCACATTTAGTAACCACTTTACCAGCATAATTAGCTTCAATTAGCAATGTTTAAAGAAAGAAATGATAAAACCACATTATTCTTTTGATAATTCCATGTTTGTTGTTCATTTGTTTCCTAGGTTTGATCTGCTGTTTAAACTTGTAAGTTCAGCCACTATATGATTTTTAAAAATTTCCATTTACCACAATGGCTAAGGAACAATACATACATCCCAGAAGTTGTGCAGAGTTAAATGTAAAGTGTCCAGTGCTGCTCCTCCCCCAGTCTGCTCTGAACAAATCAGCATTGCTTTTCTAATCTCTGGGTTGTGTTACTGTGGAAGATCTGCTCTGCTTTAAAACAACCACATCACTTGTGTGTGTTAGCTTTTATGAGTGTGTACATATGGTGTGTGTGTAGCCTGATAGTTTTAGGGGCCCATAAACCTCTTGGTCAAGTGGGCCTGACCCTGATGCAGATTAGTGTTTGACCTCTGACCCTGTATATACTGTGCTTGTGTGTGCATGTGCCTTTGTTTATATGCACGCTAGTGTCTGTCGATGACCCCTTAATCTAATGTGCTCTGGCTCCAAGCCCTCTTTACCTCTGTGTGTGTGTGTGTGTGTGTGTGTGTGTGTGTGTGTGTGTGTGTGTGTGTGGATGAGTGTTTCTATAAACAGCACAGGAGACCAATAACCCTGTATGTTTCCACCCCTCACCCTCCACTGATGGAGAGAGTGAGAAGGAAGTGGGGAGGGGAAAACAAATGGGGGCGCAACAAGACAAGGTAAAAGAGAAAACCTAAATAAAGGAGTATGTAGCTAAGGATTTTTATCTTTTTAGGGTAGAAATTGTGGTTGAAATGATAAAGAAGTACATGAAGAAATGGAAATTAGAAAGAAAATGATAATTAATCAAAAAAGGAAAAAGCGGCCTGCTGCTTCTGTATGACACACAAAGTGAGCCTGGTATTTCTTCCTTTTCTCCCCCTCCCTTCTTTTTCTTTATCTCTCTCGTTGTCTACCTCTCCTGAAGCTGGGCAGATTTGCTGAGCAACCACCTCCCCCCATCCCTGCGTTACCCCTCCCTCAGCTCAAACGCCCAACACATGATGGTAAATGGTCTTATACTTGTATAGCGCCTTTCTACACATTTACAGCACACTCAAAGCGCTTTCACATTATTCAGCCATTCACCCATTCGCACTCCCAAGCACTCACGCATTCACACACCGGTGACATCACCGGGAGCAAAGTGTCTTGCTCAAGGACACTTCGACATGTTGACTGGACAAGCCGGGAGTCGAACCACTAATCCTCCGGTTAGGAAACGACCCGCTCTACCTCCTGAGCCACAGCCGCCCCCATACAGCTTCAGATCAAATCACCCCACTGTTTTCTTTTTTTAAAATTAAGATTTTCAGCTGCATTCACTGCAAACCTTGAAGCCATCAGTGTGTGATACACATGTTGCTCTGGTCCTAACACTCTCGTATAGTATTTCACATACAGCTGAGGAGGAGGAAGAGCAGGAGGAGGAGGATAAGAAGAAGGGAGGGGGTAGAAATTGAAACCGTCAGGCAGCTCAAAGAAAATGTCAACTGATGCATAAGAATAAGGTGTGTGTGTGTGTGTGTGTGTGTGTGTGTGTGTGTGTGTGTGTTTAGAGATTGGTTCAGTACTTTGAGTTTGTTCTGTCTATCTGTATGTGTGTGGAGAGAGAGAGAGAGAGTTGTAGGCATGTTTTAAGGAGAAAGACTTACTTTGGGTGCAGCAGCATCAGTATAAGGAATTGACAGGGATTTTTTGGGGGGGGTGGGAAGAGAGTTGGCATGATGGGATTTGAGCGCAGTCCTGGTGATAAGAGTGTAGAGTACGTGACAGGTAGCTCACCATTTAAAAATCCCATACTGGGTTAATCCAGTGTGAGGAAGAGGAGGAGGGAAGAGGAGTGGTGGCTCATACCACTCCTCGCAGCTCAGTCTGCCCAGCACGAGAAGAAGGGGCAGGCTGTCTCTCTCTCTCTCTCTCTCTCTCTCTCTCTCCCTCTCTTGCTCTGTCTCTCTTTCACTCTCGAACTTCCTCTGTCACTTCCTCCCTCCTCCACCCTCTTCCCTCTTGCCTTTCTTGCATTCTCCTTGCCAGTCTGTCCCTACCTCTCTCTCTTGTTTTTTCTCCTCGACTTCCTTCGCTCCCTCTCTTCTCCTGCTCCTCCCCTCCTTCTCTTTCCTCCCGTCTCACCATGTCACTGGAGAGCGTCTCAGTGTGAAAATGCCATCCTGCTCTCCAGACTGTTGCCTCTTTCAGGCTGTGGAGGTAAGAGACTTGTGTGTATTTGTTTCTTTCATGTTTCTGGATGTCCATTGTGAGAACTGTGTGTCTGCGTGGTTATCAGTGTATAGAAATAAGAATCCTTGCATTTTTCCCCCTCTTGATGTTTCCAAAACTTTTCTTCAACAAAACCCATGCATCATGAATTTTTTTTTTTTTTACCCGAGCATGTGGGGACAGAGGAGGGAGTCTTTTGGATCTGTAGGGGCAGAGAGAGCGCCATGTCGTTGTTGCTTTTGGAGTTTCTCTTTGCTTTGCTGGTCTGGTGCTTCTGGTGTTTTGTGTCATTTCTAGGCCACAGTAGCTGTCATTTTTTTGGAGTTTTGTGGCTTTCCACTTCTTTGGTGACATTGACTTCATTTTCCGTGCCCCCTCCCAGACCCTCGCCCATCACCAGCTTTGTGTCTTGTTTCATGGAATTTTCAGCAGTTGTTCCCTGGTGGTTTTGTGCAAAATGCAGGGCAGCAGAATCCATGCTGTGAACAGAAGATGTTAAGTATGTGGGTGTGTAAGAATACACACAAACATACACACACATACGATTTCATTCTGTATGTGAAATATAAGCTCAACCTTCTTTGTGGCATGTAGGCACTCTCTGATGTTAATTAATGTTCTTGTATTTATGTCTGTGTTTGTATATTACGCTGCATGCGTGAGTGCGCTTTCTGGTGTGTGTGTGTGTGAGAATCTGCTCATACAGGGGTGTGAAGCAGCTGGTCTGTGGTTATCTGTACAGCAGCACACTCAGAAGGCAAAATTACACCTGGTTTAAATGTTGCTTTGGGTACTTGGATGAAACAGTTCAAAATGGCACAGCAGTGGGAGGTACTACTCTGGCTTTGAGCTGTACGCACTGGCTGTGCTCGGCGGTGACATTTCTTGGGACAAAACGCGACGTGTAAATGCACCTTGTTACTTCAATGTCCTACTGTGAATATGTGTGTGGTGTTCCTACTTTTGCAACCGTGGATATTCTTTCATGTGACAGTAAACACGTCATTATGGGTCGTGCACAAGCAGGTTTACATCCGTATTCACCATGTGCAGTGTGTATAAGTATGTTTAGTTGAGCTGTGGACAACAGGGTTGAGCTGAGAACGCACAGGCCTACCGACTTTTCCTGGACGTCATTTTTAAATATTTTCTTTTTTCAGTGCTACTCATGTTGGAATCGCAGAATAACATGAACAGGACTTTTTAAGGGTGGACTTGCCAAAGCACCTTATGGAGGTACATGTAGCCTCAGACCTGTTCCATTCTCCCTTTTCTCCCGACATTCAAATTCCAGACAGCAACTCAGGATGCATCATGGCTTAGACTTTTTCCAGCTTGTGGAAATATGACCTTCACTCTTGTTGCTTATCATTTTTCTCATGTATGTTTCCAGATAGTGAAGGTGTGGAGCGAGGATGGGGCCGGTAAAGTGGTGGAGATCCCAGCAGACATGACGGCCAGAGATGTCTGTCAGCTCCTGGTCTACAAGAGTCACTGTGTGGATGATAATGCCTGGACACTGGTGGAACACCACCCCATCCTCGGCCTTGGTAAGGATGCGTGTGTGTGTGCATCCAGGTGCATTTGGAGCACTTTATTGGATATGGTTTTTTGTGTGTGTTTTTTTTTTTTTTTTTTTTGCACATCATCTCTACATTGTGCATCTGCTTATACATGATGATAACTTCCAATGAGGCAAACTAAAACTAAAATCTGTTACACTATCAGTTATATACTCCAAAAAGTGCTATCATTTTTACTCTTACATTAAAAGGTGGTCTTTCTGTAGCAAACACAGACTGTGACACATACCAATGTAATATGTCGTGGCGATTTATATCAGTACCGTATATAAGTTGTCCTGCAAGTGAAAAGATGGGTAAGATTCAGTAGAACTGGTTTCCTTCCACTGCATTCCTGTATGTTGGTCTGTCCTGGGCTTTTAGGAGTATATGTCTTTTCTGCAGGTGTTTTAGTTTTGTATGTGTGTTCTTACCTGTACCCCTTGTGCGTATCTTTGCATAGGTGAGGATACTCTCTTGTGTGTATGTTCACTTGAGCATGGCACGTATGACCTGGTGAGGGAGGTGTGGCAGTCGTAGGATTAAATATTTTCCATGTTCTGCTTCCGTCTGTTCCCTCCCAGATAATTCACTCAGGGAGCAAGAAGGGAAGAAAAGACAATCACAAGACTTTGTTTCTTCACTTATGCAGTGTCTAATTTTGAAGCTTTATTGTTTTTTTTTTTCTGCGTCCGTCTTTGTCCTCGGTTAGGCTTTCCTACACCCGAGTCATATTTTTAGAGTCAAAGGACTGCTCTATGCTTTGCTGCTTGATCTGGGTTTCTGGAAAAAAGTGCACTGGAGAGATGGAATGTGAGGTGAGGAGAGGGAGGGAGGGAAAAAGAGGAGAGAGAGAGAGAGCGATGAAGGGAGAGAGAAAGAGGGGGAAGGGCAGAGAGGTCTGGACTTAGGCGTCATACCAGAGCTCCAAGGAACCAATCATGGGTCTCTGTCGGACGAGCCCCTAGCTATCCTAGCGAATCAATCTTTCCTTTAGCCTCCACAGGAAATTCCCCTGCTTGCAGCCAGTGTGCTCACACACACACACAGGACCCAGGCATTTCCACCCTGACACTGCAGCCAGAATACTTCAGCAAAAACAGTGACTAGAGTTTCACCAAAACATCTGCACTATATGAGTGTCTGTGTGTTTCCATGCACAACTGGAACATCTGTCATCAGTTCCTTATCAGGCTCCTTCTGAGATCATGTGCCCTGAACTTCAAGAAAGAACAGAACACACACACAGCTATGCACATAGAGAAAGTAATTGGACCTGTGTGGTGCATGGTGAGAAGGTTAGGCCTATGTGAGCTCTTAATGTGTGGCTGCGTGTTTGTCTGTGACTTGTACATTGCCTATGGCTTCGCTGCTCTCAGCAATCAGCCTAAATACATGACATCATCTTCCTGCAGTGCTCCTCCTCCCCACCTCTACATCTCATACCACTTATCCTCTCCACCTTCACCTCCTCCCTCCCTGACTCACAGTGCTTCCTCGTTTCACAGCTCCTCCTCTTTTAACCTTTTACTCCCTTTTTGTCTCTTAGAAAGTGGAAATTTTGTGGGTATTGTATAAACTGTAATAGTACAGTCATGGCCAAAAATATGGCCCCTCTCAGATAATGCACCACTTCTCCCAGAAAACTGTTGCAATCACAAATTATTTGGTATTCACATGTTTATTTCTTTTGTTTGCATTGGAACAATGCAAAAAAGCTGAGGGAAAAAAAGACAAATCTGTTATATTCCACACAGAGCTCCAAAAATAGACTGGACAGAATTATTGACATCATCAACCTAATATTTGTTAGCACACCCTTTGGACAGAATAACTGAATGAAATCAATTGCTTCCTCTAACCATCAGTGAGTTTCTTCCACCTATCTAGTGGAATTTTGGACCACTCATCTTCTCCCAGCTGCTACGAGATCTCTCCACAGCTGCTCTATGGGATTTAGATCTGGGCTCATTGCTGGCCACTTCAGAACTCTCCAGTTCATTGTCTGAAACCATTTCTGGGTGTTTCTGAAGTCTGCTTTGGGTCATAGTCCCACTGTAAGACCCATGACCTCTGACAGAAACCCAACTTTCTGACACTGGGCCCTACATTGTGCCCCAGAATTCATTAGTAGTCTTCAGGTTTCATAATGCCATACACACAGTCAAGACATCCAGTGCCTGAAGCACCAAAGCAACCCCGAAACATCAGTGAACCTCCACTGTGCTTGACTGTAGGCACCGTGTTTGTTTCTTTGAAGGCCTCATTTCATGTTCTGAAAACAGTAGAATGATGTGCTTGATCAAAAAGCTCTGTTGTAGTCTCATCTGTCCATAGGACTTTCTCCCAGAAGGTTTGTGGCTTCCTCCGGGAGGTTTTGGCAAACTCCCATCTGGCTTTTTTTTGTCTCTTTGTCCGCAGGGGGGCCCCCCGATTCCCCCTGGGACCCACTGCTGACACGTCCCTTGTCATTCAGATGGCGGTGGATAGTGCGAGCTGACACTGTTGCGCCTTGTGCCTGCAGGTCAGAGTGAACTTGTTTGGAAGTTGATCGAGGTTCTTTATCCACCATTCGATCATTCCTTCATTGCAATTGGTCACCTATTTCTCTTTCGGCCACGTCCAGAGAGATTAGCTACAGCGCCATGGGCTGTAAACCTCTTGACAATGTTGATCACAGTGGACACAGGAACAGCCAGATCTCTGGAGATGGACTTGTAGCCTTGAGACTGTCCAAGCTGTTCTCAAATCCTCGGACAATTCTTTGCTCTTCTTTATATTCTCCATGATCAGTGTGGTCCACACGACGCAAAGGCTGAATCAACTTTTCTCCACTTTAACTGGTTGCCAGTGTGATTTCTATATTGCCGCCACCTGTTGAATGCTACAGGGGGACTTTGACTTTGCTATAAATTCACATCATGGCTATTTATGAGGCTTAAAAAATATTTAAAAAGATGGAGATTCAAAAAAGGTTATAAATGCTATTTTGCTAGTCAGAAGGTCTAATAGAATAGAATGCCTTTATTTTTCATTGCACACTTGTGGCACACAAACATTACTGTAAGTTGACACATGTACAAAAAAATCTACAGAAATAATACATATAAAAAGCAAGTGTAAAGATACAAACAAGTGTAAACAGATATTTTAATCTGTCAACTCTATATAAGAATGCCAGTAGTGTGGATATTGATAAGACTAACTCTTTCCTATTTATGCCAGTTTCTACTGCCCAGATCAGTTTAAACTGATTTTCACTTTTATGATTTTTATGTTTTGGCATGTCAAAATGTGTTGTTTACTGCTGTTAGAGGACACTGTTTAAAACTGCTGACAGTAAACAAGGTGACAAGGATATTTGAATATGCTTTCAATATTAAAAATAGAAGAGAGAACAGAAAAGAGAGAAAGCGACATTCAGAATAGCTGCTGGTTCTGCAGATCAGCCATAAACCTTTAAAATGTATTTAAAGAACGGTGAAAGTTTTGTTTTGAATTTCTAATCCTAGTAAATTCAGATTATTAGCATGTGAATAGCGAGCTCAAAAGCTGTTAAACTGATTTTAAGATTTGGTTCACCTCTCACTCCATCCCTGACAAGTCAAAGACAGACAGTGGAGGTAACCAACACTGTCTGTCTGTGTGTCCTCTTGCAGAGAGATGTCTGGAGGACCATGAGCTGGTGGTTCAGGTTCAAGCCTCTATGAGCAGCGACAGTAAATTTCTCTTCAGGAAGAACTATGCCAAATATGAATTCTTCAGGAACCCCCCGGTGAGTCTCTCTCTCTCTCTCTCTCTCTCTCTCACGCTGACTGAAATGACCTTTCTGTGACTGGTTTGATTTAGCACACAGCCCCACACTTCCACATGCACACTGTCACAAGCAGCTTGGCTTCAGGCAGTTTTCCAGCCTTGATATGTTTGAACTGGAGCTGCTGATAGTTAAAATTTCATCCTCACATTTAAAACCTTTACATTTGATAGTTTTTAGGGAAAAGTTACAAGCACTCCATGTTTTCTGTCTGAATATTTTTTTTATATATATATATAAAATATCTACAAGTACTGGGGGAT